AATAGGAAATGTTATATATGGGCTTTATATAGTAACATAGCATTGGTACATCGTATGTACGAAAGTATAATTTCTTAAATTATAGTTTTACGTCGCGATGTATATTTTTACATATGGTATTTTACGAGAGTTTTTTTTTTGATGGGAGGAAAATCATCGAATGACTGCTCCCGCCTGGGTGGGGCGGCAGGTAGTATCAGACCCTTACTGACTAAAAACCACCCCGTTCCTACACCTGCACTTCGAACCGGAGCCCGGGTAACCCGTTAGGTTCTCCGCGACTCCGTATCGGCATCAGCCCTATTGAGCCCCATCCGTGGTGGTCTGACGTCTCGCGATCCCCGACACCCGGAGTGTCCTTCGTGAAGGCTGGGTATGTTATTTTGCGAGAGTAAGTTCGTTGTGATAGTTGATGTTCTTATTTCCAATAAACTACACATGTATGACGTATTTTTGGGAATGTATAATATAACATTGTAATTTATCGTGGTGGCCCGGAGTATTAAGACCGCTTCTCATGCATGAGGGTGCGGTTTCGAAACCTACCAACGGCTAGTACCAATGTGACTTTTAGGTAAGTTTCGAGCATGCATTGGTAGCGAGCGTTTTGAACCTTCGAGCCACCACGACAACCTATTTTAATTTTTGTTACCACATACTCAGAACTAATTACTGATTAGCAGTAGTAATAAAAGTCTATTAATTGATTAACACATTACCTATCCAACCTGGACACACAAACCTTGAAGCTCACCATTGCACACAACGACCTCTTACAATGAGCTCATAGCTTAACAGCCTCTACATGTTTTCCTGACAAACGTACATACATACAAACAAGCACGCAATGTCGGTAGATTGTTTTCTTAAGGTCAGACTGATTGAACTGACCTCACGCTTGCGAAACGTACTAAAGGCATGGTTTGTTTGAAGATTGAACGATTACAGTATGATTGTTTAACTGGTGGACTGGTGGTTCATGGTTGATAGATACAACTGGTTCAAAAGGTATTTAATAGGGTAGGTAGTACCCTAAATTTTATTTCAATGTCCGTCTGATAGATTATTTTAAAATATTAGATACGTATTTGCTCTTTTCTTACGCAATTAAATACTTTCGACGATATATTGATTTGAAATATCGTGTGACGTCACGATTTAATACATTTTATGGGGTAGCTTGACATAATGACCTCCGAATTGTTTTCTTATACAACAAAACAAAACAAAATGTATGTCTAATATTATTTTATAATCTAACTGACGGACTTATTTTAATTTTCATACACACTGTCTACTATCCTATTGTGGAGTATTTGCAATGATAATAAGTTAGTTGATTCTCCGTGATCATACTAACATTTTCAAAATTGAAAGTGATGATGGAGAAACAGAGCTGAAAATCGATATTTCGAGGTAATTGTGACCTTTAAAGAGCATTTTGATCACAATCACTTTATAAGGTCATTTTGCAAAAAGTCGTTTTAAATAAACTCCGAGTTTATTTCTTGAACTGTACCTATAACAATTTTGATTTGTTTAGAACTAGATTTTGGAATGGTATAACATAAATATTATGATACATAGTCATACTAAATTTATATTATGTGGGTCCACAGTAATCGTACCTACTTGTCATCCACTAAATCCAAATAATTTTAAATAGTGAATTTCTATTCTATTATTTATTTCTATTCAGCCATGATCGTCCCACTGTCGGGCAAAGGCCTCTCTACCCTCCTTCCATTCCTCTCTGTGTAAAGAACTATAATAAATTGTGGACAGTGAACTGCTTACCAATATTACTTTATTTATGAATAGATAGTTTTTAAGTGGCAAATAACAGTATTGGAATCAATATTAAATATAACGCGAGAGCTATTTGTAACCCGACACTTGTAGGGATTTAAGCCGGGTGTAGAACGGAGATAGAATTGGTTATAAATAAACAAAGTGATACTTATTCGAGTTGAAACACAATAACATGTTATAATGTAACACCTTTTATCTGTAATTCCCGAAGAGGTGGCAAAAAGTTCAGTTATATAATTTAACTAGCTACTTCTGCGCGGTTTCACACGCTCTGCTCAGCTCCTATTTGTCGTAGCGTGATGTTTTATAGACTATAGCCATCCTCGATAAATGCACTATCCAACACAAAAAGAATTATTCAAATCAGACTTGTAGTTACGGAGATTAGCGCGTTCAAACAAACAAACAAAAAAACAAACTCTTCCGCTTTATATGTATAATAATAGTATAAGATATAAGATTATTAATGTAATATGCTAATTGTTACTTATTTTGAGAATCCCATGTCCCACAGGAGCAAGTGGTAATAATCGATTGTAGGTATAAACCGCACCAATAGACTCGGGAATCGAAATCGAGTCTGTTATGCCCCCCCCCCCCCTCTCATGTACAAATTATTCCACGGGGCAGTTGCATTTCTAATTTTCAGACAGCTGTTTTAGATAAAACTAACTTCTGCCCGCGACTTCGTAAGCGCATTCCTCTTTTCTCCCGTTCTCGTGGGATTTTCAGGATTTTTTTCTGGCATAGGAACTTTCTCCTGACAATAATAAACACAACAAAAAAAAAAAAACAAATTAGCCAAATTGGTCTAACAGTTTTCAAATTATGGCGTGACAACGGGAAACGGGATTCGTATAAATATTCTGATAAATAGTAAACACGTCTTCAGTTTTTTGTGTCACGATGTCTATAATCGAATCATCGATTCTATGAACCTTTACCAACATACAAAGACACACAATCTGTAGTATGCGGAGAAAACAGCAGTTACATTAGTAGAGCGTCGTTCAAGGTCAGCGCGGACGTTCCGGTGCGCGCGCGCATCCTGCTCGCATGGCGCTGTGCAGGCGCCGATACTTTTGTTATGTGCGTTTTATTGCGCTTTTACTTACGAAAGTAGAATCAAATTTCGATGGGGGAAGGCTTTTGTCCAGGCTCTTATGTAAGGTTATTAACCTGGTTGTAAAATGATCACCATTGTCTCATGACTTTTTTATTTTGTGTTTATTTCCAGGAGTCTGGTAATTTGAGGCATTAGTACGAGTTTGTTATACGTTGAAAGTAATCGAAACGAGACCGCGTTCGGCGCTCTCATTGGCCGGCTCCAATGAACCAGCTAATCAGAGTGCTGAACGCGGTCTCTCATTGGTTGGACCCTGGCCTCTGTTCCAATTATGTATAGTTTTGGGTAGGCACATATTTTTTTGACATCGTACTCAGAATCATTTAACGATTACTAAAGTACGCCTCTGAGTACAGCAATAAGTAATATACCTACAGTCGTAAACTCGTAATGCATCGATAGTGTTATAATTTTCCAATACCTACATATCTGCCAACCTATAAACATCGTGAAGAAACCTGGGCTTATTATTTCCAATTATAAGTTTGAAATCGCCAACCCGCATTGAGCAAGCAAGCGTGGTGGTGCTCAAATTTACTCCATGTGAGAAGAGGCCTTTGGTTAACAGTGGCCACTTACAGGCTGATGACGATGATGATAATGTATCTGCTAAGAAACTAACAAAAGTCCTGGTTAAAACAGATGCAATTAGTTTTGAATATAAATCATCCAAATTACTTGACTCTCGACAAGAATGTGACGTCACTCTTTTGTCTGTAATTCCGTACCGCTTTACAACGAACTTCGATGACACACAATAGAAATAAATTCATTTAAGTGTTATCATTAAATTGACGTTTATTGATAAACCAATCAGTGGGTTATCAGTGTTCTGGGTAAGCAACAAGTGATTACTATCAATTATTATACGACAAGCTATTAGCTACCACTTACTATAAAATGATTAATTGAATTTAAATGTAAACGAGGATAGGTGGAAATTCTGTAATGACTTCGTATAAGGTTCGTTTTCTTTTAGCAGGTTTACGTTACGTTTGCCACAGGGTGGCAATACCCCCAGCCCCCAGAGTCCCAGCTGGAAGGGGCCACGTTCAGAGGTATTCATCTGAACTTCACTGTTTTTTTTTATTGGGAATTGGAGGCAATTCTATGAATTTAGCATGGGCCCAGAAGGGTACGCCACTGTACACTACTTACTTACCAACTAATATGTATTTATGTTCTTGACCTAGTCATAAAAACTTGGTAATATAGAGTTTGTGATCAATTCGTTTGTATGTTTGCTGATATAACATTTGCATATCACACTTTAGTCTTCATAAGTCTATATTCCATATAACATAACTAATGTGGAATGCGCTCCCCCTGGATGTCAGGATGGTGTCGACTCGTCTATCATTTAAGCAGAAAGTGCGTGAACTTCTCTTGAAGAGGGTGGCTGAATCATCACGCTAATTACTCACAGTCTATATTTATGTATGTATGTATGTATGTATGTATGTATGTATTTATACATTTTGTGCATGAAGCTTTAAATAAATAAATAAATAACTAATGTCAAAAATACATCCTTATCCACACACTTTCAATGAAGATTGTTTATTTAATTCGGACTAACGACTCGCCTTGAATATGCATATTATACATATAAAACTTCCTTAAGAACTAACTACCTATTAAAAAAACTGCATTAAAATCTGTTGCGTAGTTTTAAAGATCTAAGCATACATAGGGACAGACAGGCGGCGGATAGCGACTTTGGTTTTTATACTATGTAGTTATGTAAAATGACATATACTAGTGATATCAGTAATGACTAATGTATTATGTAATAATAAAGTCAATTCATGTATCTATAAAAGTCTCATAAAATCCACTCATTCCTAAAAAAAATCAAACATCTCCCTCTCTAGAGAATGCACAAAAATATCTCTAAACAAATCCATTCCTACCAAAAAACGACGAAACGACAGCAATCCATTCTAATACAAATGTCTACAAACGTAGGTTCGAAATTAAATTCGCGAACGATCATCTAATCAACAATACATGCGTCTATGGTCCACCTCATGGCCGGTTAGCGGCCCAGTGTTGTACAGACCGACTCGAGTGGCAGACGTATGTTACGTTAACAGTGGACTAGTGTTGTGCTCACGCGAGTTAGACATCATAAATAATGATATTTGTGACATTTCGTGTTCTATAGTGATATATTGTGATAGTTATTTTTTGTTGTGTTTATATTTTTTAAAGGTATGTATTTTGTGTATAGTTTTTTATGTTCATTGTGACATTGCGAGTTATTTTCGAGTTAATTCTGGTAGTGTATTTGTTTATATTTTTGCTGTTATTGTGTAATAGATTAGTGTACGCGGTGATGATTCTAATTGTTATTGTAGATTATGTTCTATTATCCTATAGTTTATAAAAAAATTGATGAGGACTGAAAGGATTTAATTATATATTTCCATGCAGTTAGAGCCTAAAACTCATAACCTTCATTGCTTTGCCATAGTCGGAATTATATCTTGTTTACCTAATGTGCACAGTGTGTATTTAATTATGTATATTCGGAATTTGAACTCTACCTAAAAGTTTATTCGATTGGAACAAATAAATATAAGGTGTTTTGAGTATCTGACTAACTTTTGTATAGAACCAAAACTAAAAGAAACCTTCAACCAACTAGAGTGATGTTAGACACGATTTCTTGGAAAGGAAACTCGTCAAGTTTAGCGGGAAAGTTGTGTATGCTTAAAGGAAATGAGTAATTTTCAGTTGTAGTAACAAGATAGCAAATTAATAATCACGAGTGCGACTGCCAGGCAAGGGATCTCGGCCCGAGCAAAGATTTACTGTGTTTAAAAAAAAAAGTTCTTAGTAGTAGCACGGAGTTTGGAATTGTGCCCGGTCTATGGCAGTAGGCTCACGCCCTATTACATGGGACTCATAACATAAATAGTGAAAAGTGGGTGTTAAATTGTGCAGTGGCATTGAGTGCCGTAATGTGCACCTCTGCCTACCCTTACCTTTGGAGATAAAAGACGTGTTGTGTTATGTTACGTTTTAATTTATCATTGTCTTATAACTACAGCACTGGTGGGATTAAAAGCCAATTTGATTTGCGAATGTTTTAAAATATGTTTCAATTTGGACAGTTGAATGTCTAAAATTTTTACGTGATATTTGAGAAGCCTCATTCTAATTCCTATGGTGTGTTACACTTCTACAACAGTTCTCTCTGATAAACCTGAAACGGCTGAAACTTTTGAATCGCGATCTCAAATAAGCCGGCCATGTGTGTGGTGATGATGGCAAACCTATTTTATATTTACACTAGCTACTTTCACACGCTCTGCTCAGCTCCTATTGGTCGTAGCGTGATGTTTTATAGCCTATAGCCATCCTCGATAAATAGGCTATCCAACACAGAAATAATTTTTCAAACCAGACCAGTAGTTTCGGAGATTAGCGCGTTCAAACAAACTAACAAAAAAATAAACTCTTCAGCTTTATAATATTAGTAGTATAGATAGAGAATTCCCTTTGTCCAGCTTTGAAACTATCACTGTCTGGTGCTGATATCAAATGAGGGAGAATAATAACAAATAAATAAAAAGCCCCTTATTCAGACCAAGTTAGTAACTAAATTTACAAACTGTTATTTCTTGTCTTTCGTAGTTTTAACTAATCCTAATCTGTTTTCTATTCTAAACTAATATATAATATTTTTTGTAGTTAGGTCTGTTTGTCAGTCGGCAATGGCATCCTCCAAATAAGGGAGAAGCATGCGTTATAATAATTTAGTTTTGAAAGCAAATAATTCATTATTTTGTTATGATTAAACTTCTGCGTCCATGAATCGTTTACTATTGTATTTGTACTTAGGCTTGGCTATATTTAATCTAATCTTATCAAGCAGTATTGAATTACTCATTTAAAAGAAATTTTCATTGGATTTCGAGTAGATCGCACGTTTGTGTACCATGTCACCATTCTTATTTAGCATGTTCATTAAATTGTGATATTTTACGAAAAGATGCTAAGTGTGGGAGAGCCATGCTTCGGCACGAATGGACTGACTCGACCGGAGTGATACCGAGGCCTCACAGAAAACCAACGTGAAACAACGCTTGCGTTGTGTTTCGGTGTGTGAGTGAGGTTACCGGAGGCCCAATTACCCACCTCTCCGTCTCCCGAATCCCCGAATCCTCCACAATCCTCAAATTCCCAATTCACGAAAGGCTGGTAACGCACTTGTAACGCCTTGGTGTTTCGAGTGTCCATGGGCGGCGCCGATTGCTTACCATCAGGTGATCCGTAAGCTCGTTTACCGGCTTATGTTATAAAAAAACTATAACGATAAGTATAATATACAATACTTGCATACTTGTATTGATAACAACTTTATAACTCTCCTTGATTCTAAGACGATAAAGGATGTCCCAGCCTTATGTTTGTTACCTATCACTTAGGAACCAGGAAGGCATAATTTCGAAATCATTTCAATCAAATACATTTTTCGTGTTTACAGAATGATGTTATCTGATTCATCAGTCTATTCTATAAAATAACAGACGTGACATTTTTTTACTATTCAATATCACACACGAGTAAATGAAAATAGTATCGATATAGGTAACACTTCCAAAAACAATCACCACGAATCGATAAGATAAATCACGCATTTAAACGTAAAAAAAATCACATTCTGAACTCATTAGAGAGAATCCTTAGATAAATCTTTCTTCTAGGAACCAAAAACGTGTATAAATAAACACCGCTTATCGATGAATCGTTATCGGATATCGATATTTTATCGATAACTATCGGTGTACGTTACTTTTATCTTAACGTAAAATTCTATTAAATTCCGTTTGTGTTGTGTTTTGTTATGTTTATATTGATTTGACCTGCGTTTATACAAGGCGGGTCGCACCGTGCGTTAACCTTAGATTAATAAATCAACTGGTTATATTAAGATTAATTTTAATGTTCTGGAAAATTGTTGTAGGTACTGTTTTATAATTTATGAATCGATGATTAAGTATAGTTCTTGTGATTTACTTTGTTTTAAATATTACGTAACAAACATTGTACTGTTGTTTATTATAAAATCCATATATTAATGAACATGAAAATGAACCTATGCGTATAATTGGAATTGAAACAATTCGGTTTTATTTACGTATCTAAAATCTGTTGTTAGAAATTATATAAGGAAACACCTTCAAACAAAAATATCTAATCATCATGTCTCTCTAAAATAGACAGCTAAAGTAGCAACAAGAAATTAGATACCCGTTTACATTCTATAATTCCATGACTATCGTATCAAATAGTTACTTCATACATATCAAATATCCAATCAGCAATATTCAGTAATTTCTACACGTCATGTAGATTCGATTTGCTCTCAACTTTTACAAATTTTGCCATGCTCATCTTAAACCACGGTTAAATCAAAATACATCATTGACATGCAATACTAAACTCTAAAATATTATATTTCGTTACTTATAATCAGAAATCGAGACAGCGTGAACAATTTTTAGAAAGTCGAGCTAATTTTTCGCTTGAAAAACGTTTTTTTACGCAAATCTTCGTAAAATTCGTTTTGCAATGAGATTATTTTTAACCGCAACTTTTATGGTTCAATCGACCTATGAATAATTTATGTTTTTATGGTAAGAATAGGGTAGATGACTAATTTTTATTTTAATGTCCGTCTGGTAGATTATTTTAAATCATTAGACACGTTCTCATTTTTTAATTTCTTACAGAAACTAATACTTTCGACTATATGTTGATTTGAAATGTCGCGTGACGTCACTTCTATGTACATTTTATACGTAGAAATGACGTTTTAACCCCCACTCCTAAACTTTGATTCGTTTTATCTAAGTATTGTTTTATTAAACGACAAAATAAAAAAATACGTGTCTAATATTTTTTCATTACCTAACTTACGGACTAATTACATTTTTAATTTTCATACCCTGTCATCATCCCTATTGTGCCTATGGTTGATGGAAATTGTTACGTATTGCAAGAAGTGGTGATTTAATAATTGGATATATCTAATTTATTAATTACCCAATTGCCATCGTGGTTTGGAAATCCAAACCATACCGCAATGATTAGAGTAATGAAATTAGTTTGTATTAATTTCATTAACTGTCATCAAGGCATGTGGAGACGACAATGCAGGATACCTAAGTATACCTATATTTAATTTTTCACCAACCTTAGTCTTTTTAAAGGGACTGGGCAGCAACGGTCTCAGATAAGCCTGATTTTTTTAAACTAGGACTTCCAACAGATCAAGCAAACAAAGAGATTATTTTGCTCCTACTTTTAAAACTACAACATTCGACTTGAGAGGAACTCAAAAATAAATGACGTCACTTTATTTTTGAACACAACTCAATCACTTCGATTGATTGTGTAATATTTGGATGACAACGACGAACACACATATAAACAATCAGGCTCATATTAAACACAAAATGCATGTTATGCAACACGTAATTTTGACTCATGCAATTTACAAATAGATGATGATTCATAAATACAATCATGTATAGTAAGTACCTAATAAAGTAATAATATTCTATTGCTAACAAGAAATAAGTGTTTATTAATGACAAGGTATTTATGTCAGGTGTCGTATAATTTAATAGAGACAGACGATTTTATCTCTTTGGCTGTCGGTAGATAAGTGTCGAAGGCACATCTTCCGCTAACTTTGAATACACTCCACCAGGGTTTCCCCTGATTTCGACCTGACCAGGCATAGTTCACCATCTTTCGGGTCCCAGCATTTATGCTCAGAGCGCGCCTGCATTCACGGATTTGAAACGAGACGCCTTGGGAGTGCGAGAATTCGCTGTACATAAGACCCTCATAGGGGATACCATCTGTACCCGATTGAACATTTTGTCCTAAATTAAATCTTGAATCTCCAATTAACCCAAGATCCTATTGCTTGGCAGTCTACCCGACATTATATAGTCTCTGCCTACAGCCGTAACGTTATGTATGTATGTGTGTATGTCTACCCGACTAATGAGGCTGTCAAACCATGTAAAATCATGACACCAACTAAGTACAGGCCTTTCCTCACCTTTAGTTTCAACAAGTAAGAAGCTAAAGGTACTAAACATTTCAAAACACCCAAAAACCCAACAGGACTTTTTGGACCCTGGAATCGAACTCAACAAAGTCAACGACCCCTATTAATTAAGTTTAGC